TGCAGTATTTAAGGGCTCATGTTTTTTAACCCTCTGGTGTTGTTCGGTCATTTTAGACCGGAAAAAAAAAAACGTTTGGAAATTTTAAAGATCGCTACTTCATCGGAAACTCTGTGACTTTTGTGGCAGTTGCTTTGTGACAACCCCCCCAAAAAAAATCGTTTCATGCATCATTTCACGACTTGATTTGAAAAAGCTAAATGGTCATAAAAAAAATAGTCCCACTTGTGTTGTTCACGGTCAAAAATGACCACCATAGGAAATGAATGGGAAATAGGAACAAAAAAAAAATACAACAATACAAAGATGTTTTTGTGTGTACAATCTACAAATCAGCCACAATGCAGAAAAAAGTGCACAGCAATAAAGGGGTGACAAAACTTAATAATTATGACTGAAAACACTGCTCAGTAACTAAGGAATACACAGCACTGAATATATATGGCTATACTGGCATCTAATGGCTACTTCATGGTATTACAGATGATTTTCTTTGCTTTTTTCACAAGGTGGAACACATCTGCCTCAATTCAATGAATTTTAAATACTTTTGCTCTATTTTTAACTTAAATACTGCATTAATTGAAAAATTATATAATTTAATTTAATAATTTTTTGTACAATTTATACAGAAAATAGTTCATAATTTAGATATGGATATTAATTAGTAACATGAAACACACTCAAAATGTAAAATATGAAATAAAAAACAATATTGAAATGAAATAAAGTATATTCATTTTGCAAAAATTAAATTTTTACACTATTATGTCCTCCGATCAGTTTAAGCCGTGAATAACACGACTCCCAAATGAACAATACCAGAGGGTTAAATCAATCACTTTGTCCGACCCTACATTATTTTCTCACAGGTTTGGCTCATAATGTACATAAAATAGGTTTCATTTTGACTTTAATTTAATGCTAAAGGAAGAGTTCACCCAAAAAATTTCATTCTGTCATCATTTACACACCCTCAAAGCTTTCTGTCTTCTGCTGAACACAAAAAGAAGATATTCTGAAGAATGTTGGGAACCAAAAGTAGCTGCTAGCCGTTGACCTCCATAGTATGAAGAAAATACTATGGACGTCAACATTTTTGGGTGAACTATCCCTATTCACATTCACTGTTTATGTGTTTCATTGGGGTTTATGCGGATGTTTTGTGATGCTCCAAGTCGTGGTTCTCTGTGATTTTGTACTTTCAGCTCTGAACTGTTCTACTGCTGAAACGAACTTCTACTGGGTTTGATTTCGCCCTCGTGAATGTTTTAAAAATGTATTTCCACTTTAAGTCAAGTGCACACTACAAAACCAAAGCACTTCATGTTTTTAGGGTAACACTTTATTTCGATAGTCCACTTTAGACATTCTGCTAACTACAAGTATCTTTGCAACTACATGTCAACTAGCAGTCATTAGAGTATTAGCAGACAGTCTGCTGAATATCTGCTAACACAACAGACATCCTACTAACTATAAGCAGTGCTGGGTAACTGATTACATGTAATCTGGATTAGGTAACCAGATTCCAAAAATTAAGTACTTGTAATTAGATTGTACTACACTTTAAAACACGTCATGATGTTGACATGAGGAAAATTGTAGTTTGTTACATAATATATTGGATCACACATATTTGGTAATGTATTGACTACTTTTTGATTAGGCTACTTTTAGATTACTTTTGGCGTAACTCATAAGAAAATATATTCAGTTTTTTAATGTAATTTGCAATTAGTAACAGATTACAATTTGTAAGTAATCTGCCCAACACTCACTATAAGTATTTTTGCAAGTGTATGTCAACTTATTCTACTAACCCTAACCAAAAGGTCTACTAATACTCTAATGAGAGTTAGTTGACATGCAGTTGCAAAGTTACTTTAATGTCCTAAGCGGACTATCGTAATAAAGTGTGACTGTTTTTCATTTGTGAGAATGCAGCAAAAAACTCCAGGCTGCAACCTGAAGTTGTCATTTCTAACTGTAAGTACTGAAGTACAATTAAATGAGGAAACTTTTTATTTCAAATAAATAATTGGCTAGATACTTGTGTAGAATATTGAGATTAAAAGTACGATTCCTCTGTACTTTTAAACCCCTGAGAGCAGAAACGAGCCAGTAAAACGGCAAGAGGCCGAGGCCGTGGGAAGACGGAGCCAAAAAAAACCCTGCTGCCCACGTCTCCTTAAACACTGTCGCATCCCTGGTTTTTGGCTTCTTTTTTCCTGTTCTGTACAAATCAGTGTAAAAAACAAGTGCAAAACCCTCCTGCATTCTGAGAAAGAATAAACCGCAAGAACTCATACTGGGATTCAGTCGGGGAGGAAATGACCTTGTGATTTCTGCATTATGGATCAGTTGCGTAGTATGCATTCCTGTAGCCCAAAGGCACTTGCAACACTAAGGTCATGGGTTCGATTCCCAGGGAATGCATGAACTGATCCAATGTATAGCTTAAATTTAATGCAAGTCACTTTGGATTTAAGCATCTACCAAATGCATAAATGTAGGAAGCTTATACAGTAGATCATGGCTTGCAACAGCAAGGTCATGGGTTCGATTCCCAGGGAATGCATGAACTGATCCAATGTATAGCTTAAATTTAATGCAAGTCACTTTGGATTTAAGCATCTACCAAATGCATAAATGTAGGAAGCTTATACAGTAGATCAAAATGTAGGAGGCTTATACAGTAGATCATGGCTTGTAACAGCAAGGTCATAGGTTCGATTCCCAGGGAATGCATGAACTGATCTAGTGTATACCTTAAATGCAGTGCAAGTCAATGTATATCTTAAAAGCATCTACCAAATGCATAAATGTAGGAGGCTTATACACTAGATCATGGCTTGCAACAGCAAGGTCATAGGTTCGATTCCCAGGAATGCATGGAATGATCCAGTGTATACCTTAAATGCAATGCAAGTCACTTTGGATTTAAGCATCTGCCAAATGCATAAATGTAGGAGGCTTATACAGTAGATCATGGCTTGCAACAGCAAGGTCATGGGTTCGATTCCCAGGGAATGCATGAACTGATCTAGTGTATAGCTTAAATGCAATGCAAATCCATTTGGATAAAAGCATCTGCCATTGTATAAATGTAAATGGCTTAAACAGTAGATCATGGCTTGCAACAGCAAGGTCATGGGTTTGATTCCCAGGGAATGCATGAACTGATCCAGTGTATACCTTAAATGCAATGCAAGTCACTTTGGATTTAAGCATCTGCCAAATGCATACATGTAAATGGCTTGAACAGATCATGGCTCGCAACAGCAAGATCATGGGTTCGATTCCTAGGGAATGCATGAACTGATAAAATGTAGACCTTGAATGCAATAGATATAAAATCATCTGCCAGGTGCATAAATGTAAATGTGTGTGAACCGATATGACACAAAACACAAAGCTGTGAGTGTTAAATGTCCTTCTGTCTTGTAGTGTGCACTTGACCCATTGAACTGTAAGGTCGTGGCCTCACTGAGCAAATGCTGCTGTTGCTCCGATTTGATCCTCTTCTTTATGTTTTTACAGCAGAAAATTAGTGCAAAAACAACTTCAAGCTGGTCCAGGAGTGTCTGCGGCAAAAAAATACCCTGTAAATGTACAATGTGGGAGGAAAATTATCAATAATGAATTCCTGTATTATTTGTGATATGTAATATCTGATTATTGTGTTCTATGCATATCTGGTTGGGAGTTTAGTGCCTGTTTCTGTCAGATTATGTAGTTCAGATTGTTTTTGAATACGAAACCAAGATGGAGTGGCGTTTGATTATAAATAAATAAATATGGTGTTTTTATATCTGATCATGACGGGGGATTTCAGATTTACTCGTGGTAAAAAGTGTATTTTGACAGGGATTTGAACGATTGGCTGATAATATCTGTCTGTCCTGTGAACATTTGCTGTTTTTCCAGTGTGTTTGGAGTAAAAGATCGCTTGCTCAGAGATCATGTCATATTCGTGTTGTGTAGCATTACACACTGCTGTAACAGCAACAGATACAGTATCGCTGTTTCTGTGATTCTGACTTCAGAAGTTTTTACAAGATCTCAGATCAAATATAGAGTCACACTCCCCTCTAGTGGTCATAATAAAATTCCTAAAAAAAATGATATATACATCTGTTATTTAAACGCACACTTTCTGAAACACTTTGGTGTTCTCTGTTTCTTTATTCAGGACAATATACATCTTTATATTGATTACTATAGCACTGAGAGTGATAAATTATTATAAACTGCTGTAGAAAGTTATGTGAGTTTTGTCTATACTGAGATGTTTGATCAATAAAACCAACTGTGATTTTGTGGTATGATGTGCTAAATGTTTAATGCATTTATCCAGTGCTGTGTTTTTTAACTGCTTTACACAGACTGATATTCTTGTAAAAGTATTCACACACACAAAAATACAATAAAACATTTAACTAATAATAATAAAGCCATCAGGCATTGGAGTTTTGAATGGCATAAAATGATTCTAGTAAATGTTATGTTTAAATGTAAAAAGCATTAAAGCATTAAACCCACTGAATTTTTTTTTTATAGAAAAGTGACTTATTTATTGGGGCTATTTAAACAAACTTAGATCAAGTTGGACTTTTCTCTGTGTAAAAGTGCATTACAGTTGTTTCATCTGCTTACACACTGCATCTTCACGTGTCACACAGTTATCTAACAGGAATTATTATTATGGCAAAGGTGTTTGCAAATGCTTGCTTTTGAGATTTGAGATATTTTGAACGCAGTGCTTCGTTTTGCAAGAGATGTGAGGCTTTTTGTATTTTGTGCAATTCTTGGATTTGTGTGTAAAGTAAAAAAAAAAAAAAAAAAGAGAGTGTTGTAAGCAGTTGGAAACCCCCCCGTAAATCCCACAGATCACAGGTGTTCTGCGTGCAATGTCTGTAAGCGGCCGCTGGGTGGCGCTGTCGTCGCAGGGATCGTGCGTCAGGTGACGCACAGCACAGGTGTGGAATTAAACCTGCCGGCGGGATGCACACACACACACACACACACACACACGGTTATGACGGAGGTTTAAATATGCAGCAGTGATTCATGAGTGAGTATAACGTGAGACAAACACACGATCGTCTTTTGATTCGAGTTTAACCAGAGTAACAGCATAAATCGGTTTGTTTGTATCGATAGTGAGTCCGGTTTAACGTCACAGCGGATTTTCGTCGATGTTTATTTGATCAAGAAACAGACTTGAGGCCGTTTAGCGTCTTTTAAATCACGAAATTCAGTTGAATTAAAAAAAAATTGATTTCAGTTTCACGTGGATCACTAGAGATCTACAGGAGTGAGTTCAATTCTGTTTTCTTTTATTATTTCTGGGTAAGTGTAAGTCATTAAAGTCCATTTGCGAACCAATGAACGCATCTTCACTGCAGGTGGACGTCGTGACGTCATCACGCGACCAGCACAGGTGACAGCTTCTGTAATAAAAATACTACTAGAAAGAAAGAAAGATCTTGAGTGCTTAGTTGAGCATATAATGACTTCTTGCAGTCAGAGCTTTAGGTTATGTATTCTGACTAGTGTTTAATTACTAGTACTTGATTTCTGGAATCTGATTATGAAATCCAGATTACATTAGAATCCGTTACCAGCTGTGCTTGCAGTGTAGATGTTTCACTTCATAGCGCATCACTCCAGCTGCACTGCAAGTAGGCTGCAACAAATATTTATATATATTATTTAACGTTTATTTACAAAATATTTGTATGTATTTATGAAGAGTTAATTTGCTAAAACGAACTTTTCATTGTGCATTCAAATTAATCTCAATCAAACTGCAGTTGGGTTATTTTGATTAGGTTAAAAATAACGAAAAAATACAGCTAACTAACACAATAAAAATATGATAACATTATAAAAAACATGATTTTTCAGAAAGTTAACTGTTTTTGCAAATAAACTTCATATATTTATATTTGTATATAATTTATATAATTTATTAATATAAATATTTTATATATAAATCAAACGTTTTCCTTAATTTATACATGTATGTGTGTGTGTGTATATATATATATGCACAATACACATACATGTAGTATGTAAGCAAACTTTTATTTTGAAAAATATTTGATTGTCAGATTATATTAAACCTTCAAATAATCAGCTAAATACACACAGGTTATTAATTCTTCCTTATTGCTTAGTCTTGAGAATTATTTCACTGCCACATGAAAAACAGTTTTTAATTTTTTTGAGCTTTTGTTGTCATGTTATAAATGACATTTAGCCCAGGGTTATTATAGTTAAATAAATCTACAACTAAAGCCATTAAAAAATTGTTACTTGAAATAAAATAAATACTAACTTAAAATACAAAAAAAATATATATTTCAGCTACTCCCCATAGCAATATTTCTCATCATTTAATTTGTCTTGATGCACTAAAATAACTGAAACTGAAAGAAAAGTATTTAAAAACAACGAACTAAATATAAAAATGACAAAAACCAACACAATTTAGCGTAAAAGCTAAATAAATAAAAAATACTACATAAGCAGAAAATATAAAAAATAAAACCAATTCAAAATGGTAACAAAAACTACAACAGTATCTCAATAATTCTAAAATAACACTGGTTTAAGATCATAGTTTTTTCCTATTTTCACTGAACAGCTGTGTCAGACAGCAAAGCAGCAAAAAAGAGAGCGAGATAGATATATATATACTTAATATCCTAATGATTTTTGGTATAAAAGAAAAAAAAATTGTTTTGACCCATACAATGTATTGTTGGCTATTGCTACAAATATACCCCAGAGACTTAACACTGCTTTTGTGCTGCAGGGTCACATATGTGTCAGACAGCAAAACAAATTAATTTTACAAAGCTAATGTATTGCTTAGTCATGAGCTTTATTCCTGCAGATGTATTTTTCCATGTGTAAAGCTCTCTGATGTTTGTTCTGTGCTGTAGCAGGTGTGTGTGAGAGTGTGTGGCGCGATGCAGATGCTGGAGACTGCAGGATTGAGGCAGAAGCTGCTGGAGGCGTTGAGTCTGGGCAGACGGCAGCAGTACTGCCTCGCAGACGCATGTGTCCCTCCCCTCCCCTCGCTGTCTGCATCCTTCTGCAGAGGCGAGGACGCCAGCGAGCTGCTCTCTTTCATCACAGCCTCCTCCTCCATCGCTCCGCTCTCCTCGTCATCATCACCACCATCATCCTCCTCCGAGAGCGAGTCGCGCAGACGCAGACCCCCGAGCCGTCATGCCGTGAGAGAGCTCATCATGGGCAATCAGGATGGGAAGCCGAAGCGCTCCGAAGGCGCGGCGGATGAGAGCGCGGCTCTCGACGGCACAAAGAAAGGGAAGAAACCGCGAGGGGAGGGAGGGAAGAAGAAAAACAAATCCGACAGATCCTCGGTGTTCCCTCACATACGCAAGCGCAAGAACCAGAGCAAGGCTAAAAGCTTCCTGAGCGGATCCAAAGAGGATGCATCGCTGGATGAACTGGACTGCGCTCCGTCGCTGTGCAATAAGACGCCCGATCTCTCCGGAGATGAGCTCGGACATTCGGACGCCGAGCCCGAGCATCCTCGCCTGCAGGAGGAGAAGAAGGTGGCGAGCTCCGGATCCGACACGGACATGTACAGCTTCCACTCCGCCGCAGAGCAAGAGGATTTGCTGGCTGACATCCAGCAGGCCATCCGTCTGAAGCAGGGCGTGATGCTCGGCAAGATTCCCTGGGATTGTAAACAAACCGGAGACGCTAAAAACACTCCCACCCCCGACTCGGAGCCGTTCACCGTGCTAGAAGCCGTTCCTAAAGCGGAAAAAAACGGGATTGTGCTCCCTGAGGAGGAGCCGGCTGTGAACGGGCTCTCAGAGGAGGCCCTTTGTGCTCCGGTCGCCGTGGAAACGGTCACAAAAGAGCCTGAGGCCCCTCTTTCTCCTCCTCCAGCGGTGGCTCCTACAAACAGCACCACAAGCTTCCCAGACCTGACTGCGTCGGTCGAAAGCGCCGTGGAGGCTGTTGAAGAAGACGAGCGTTCGCCTCCGAGCACGGATACGGCGTCTGACCTCAGGTAGAGATGTCAAAATGTCTCATTTCGAGTTTTGCACTTAACTCTTTCCCCGCCAGCGTTTTTGAAAAAAGTTGCCAGTCACCGCCAGCGTTTTTGCTGATTTTCACTAAAATTGCATCATGGCCTCCAGAATAGTTTGTTGTATGAATATCTGAACATGCAATACATCAAAATAAAGACCAGACCCTCTACTTTTAGCGTTTAACAGCAAGAACACAGAAACACGGAAAATTCTGTGTTTGGCGGGGAAAGAGTGAAATATTATCAATCGAATTTAAAAGGCATGATTTGATTAATTTAAAAATGTAACACCGGAATGTATTTTAGAATTTTTGTCCAGTGTGGATTTGAAATGTCTTTTATAACTTGGTGTAATTTATTCTGAGATCGGCATGTAAATAACCTTGATGCTGGCATGGCGTTAAAAAGTGAATAAATAAATAAATTGCTTGCAGTCAATAATGCCCTCTGCCGGTAGGGGTTAATACACTGTATGGGTCAAAATTATCGATTTTTCTTTTATGCCAAAAATCATTAGGATATTAAGTAAAGATCATGTTCCATGAAGATATTTTGTACATTTCCTACCGTAAATATATCAAAACTTAATGTTTGATTAGTAATATGCATTGCTAAGAACTTAATTTGAACAACTTTAAAGATGATTTTCTCAATATTTAGATTTTTTTTGCACCCTCAGATTCCAGATTTTCAAATAGTTGTATCTCAGCCAAATATTGTCCTATCCTAACAAACCATACATCAATGGAAAGATTATTTATTCAGCTTTCAGATGATGTATAAATCTCAGTTTCAAAAAATTGACCCTTATGACTGGTTTTGTGCTCCAGGGTCACATATATCTTTAAATAAATCACTCTTTTAAAGTTTTGCTCATATGGCCCACTCATAATCGGGTTAAATAATCGTGATTGTGATTTTTGGTGTAATCGAGCAGGTCCACAGGCTCGCTGGAGTGTCTCACGGTCATCGAGGAGCTCGTCCAGAGGCGCAAGAGCAGCGTTTCCTTCCCTCCGGAGAGTCCTCTGGCCACACGGCTGCTGAAGGCTGCGGTCAAGCCCTATCCGCCCATCAGCACGTGCTACATCAAAACCACCACTCGACAGCTGAGCTCGCCCTCTTGCTCGCCCGCCCCCTCGCCATCCCACAGCCCGCTGTCCACCCGCCGCGGACCGGACCGGGCCGAGAGGAGGCGCGTCACCGGCTCCATCAGCCGCTCCGCGGACTGGACCGAGGAGCTCCGCACGCTGCAGCACAGAGCCACCGGCTCGGAGGAGACGCTCAGAACCAGCGCACCGCGGCCGTCTGCCAATCAGAGCTCCACATGCAGCTTCCAGCAGGTGTTCACAGGTCAGTTCTGCAGTGCGTCTCAACTATTGTGAATGTCATTATACATGCAGCTTTAATGACAATAGTAGGAAGCATTTGTGTCCCTGGAGCACAAAAGCAGTGTTAAGTCGCTGGGGTATATTTGTAGCAATAGCCAACAATACATTGTATGGGTCAGAATTATAGATTTTTCTTTTATGCCAAAAATCATTAGGATGATGTTGTATGAAGATATTCTGTAAATTTCCTACCATAAATATATCAAAACTTAATGTTTGATTAGTAATATGCATTGCTAAGAACTTCATTTGGACAACTTTAAAGATAATTTTCTCAATATTTAGATTTTTTTGCACCCTCAGATTCCAGATTTTCAAATATTGTCCTATCCTAACAAACCATACATCAATGGAGAGCTTATTTATTCAGCTTTCATATGATGTATAAATCTCAATTTTGAAAAAATTTACCCTTATGACTGGTTTTGTGCTCCAGGGTCACATTTAGTTAATTAATATTTTGAATCAGTTTTAATTTGTCAAATTTGTAGTACTTTTTTACATTTTAGTAGTTTTTTGCATATGTTTATATAGTTTTTATAAAATTTTATTTCAGCTTTAGCTATTTTAGTAATTTTATTACATTTTAACATTTATTTGTTTTAAGGAAAATGTTTTTTTTTTTCATGGTTTTAGTTTGTTTTAGAGAAGTATAATAACCCTGCTTCACAGTAATAAACAGGTAAATAGCAGAATCAATAGTGTAATCACAATTTCTGCCTTCTTTTTTTTTTTTAAGAATAATAATCTGCAATATTTGCCCGCTGGTTATTTATCCTGAAAACATTTCATTCTAATTTAACATTTGCATTGTTGCATTGGTATCAAGCCTCTACAAGGTTTTATTGTTGCGGTTTCCAGATTTCAAGTCCCCTTAAATCCCCCAATCAGAGCTTTTTTCTTTCGCATCGGACAGAATTACATACAAACCAACCTTCTGTTTGATTCGTTAAAAAGAATCTGCTCAAGAGAATCCTTCATTTCAGTCTGCAAACTCACATAAAGCGTTGTTTCTGTTGCTGTAGATTGAGTAGAGACTCGTGAATCATTTAGTTCCAGTGTTTTTTAAGGAATTGATTGTGTTCTGCATAAGAACTGGCTGATATTAGAAGCGCTCTTTCCTCTCGTGGTGTTTTGTTCTCCTCACACGGTCGATGGGGTTGAACACAGCATGTCAGATCTCTAAACGCCTGTCAGTCGCTGAGCTCCTCACTCTGATTTCTGTTGCTCCAGCATAATCACTGTGTTTTAGATGCGTTTTCTCGTGCTGAACTCCTGCGACTTCCAGTGTCTGCCTGATCAGTGCTGATCTATTAACAACAACTCTGTTTTTGACTAACACTGATATTATCACTTTTATAACATTCATCTGTACAGATGTGTTCATTGATTGTGTTTAATGGGCAGAACTACATCTCCCGTGATGCACTTCATCTTGTTTCTCATTGGCTCTCTGACAGCGTGTTTAAAGACTGGCTCATCTTTGGTCTTATTGACATGATGCTAATGAACTTAATGAGCTGTTGATAATCAGGCCTGTGCGAGTGAGTGAGTGAGTGAGTGAGTGAGTGAGTGAGCGTAAGTGCGTGCGTGCGTGCGTGCGTGCGTGCGTGCGTGCTGCGAGTGAGTGTGTGCTCACTCACACACACACACACACTCTCTCACACACACTCGCTCTCTCTCTCACACTCACTCTCACACACACACTCTCACTCTCACACACACACACACACTCTCTCTCTCTCTCACTCTCTCACACTCACTCTCACTCTCACACACACTCTCTCACACACACACTCTCTC